ATATGTGACCCGATCAAACATGGACACCCATTTCTGTTTGCAGATGATGTCAAACTTGTTTACTCATTTCATCCAGACCAACTACATATGTGTTTGGGGAACATCTGTGAAGACCTAACCGCACTAAATATAGCTAGTGAGCGTTTATTAATGAAGTTCTCCGCAGTGAAATCCCAAGTACTTGGGTACAGATGCCGCATCCCAGAAGGCTCCATTATACTTGCCGGAAACGTGATCCCAACATCTGATTCAGTTCGGGACTTAGGAATTAGATACTCCAACTCTTTCAATTTCTCTGAACATGTTCTTTATCAGGTTGCGAAAGCAAGGCAGTTATGCGGATATATCACCAGAACTTTCTCCCTACCAGAAGCACGACTTGAGTCATTCAAGACAATAGTACGACCGACTCTGGAATATTGTACTATCGTTCACAGCCAATTGAGAAAGACAGAACGGCTCTGGAAAATGTCCAACGATCATTTACCAAGCTGCTCATGGGGCGCTGCTCAAACCTGACTTATTATGATCGCTGTCGAAAACTCCAGCTGGATCCACTTTGGCTGAGACGCTTAAAGAACAACCTCGTTCTCTTCTACAATATTATAAACCAACGAATTTACGCAGACAGCGCTGCACTAGAACTACGGAAGACTGCAGTCTACCCCACACGTAATGGCGGCTACTTGATACGTACAAACCTTTCAAGTCATAAAATTCGGTCGAATTTCTTCTTAGTGAGATACACTTATCTGTGGAACAAACTACCCCTACAGATACGCATGTGTACAAGCCATGTCACGTTTCGAAATCTCCTTCAGACCTTCCTCACTATACCAAATGCTTTGAAGATATTTGACTCACAGCAAACACTAGAAACATTGACAGAAGTTGGTATAAAAAACATATGAGAAGATAATCGCTTACAGCTAGCTTACCCACTACATGTCATTACATACCATACCAAGTCCTGTGTCTTTACAGCCTAGTAGTCCCTCCCTTTATTATCTACTCCTGACGATACAAACATCCGTAAATTTTACATATGAGTTGCACGGGTCTAGGACTCAAGGAAAAATAATCATGATCCGAAATGCTATCAATAAACTTTTCTTTAATGTTATGAAACGTATTCACTATACAAATGATCGCTCCCACTTATGGGGCCGTGTACCGTCTGTCGGTAAATATACAAATTTGTTTATTTAGGTGGCGTGGTTCTATCCCGGACTGCTGCTAGTTCTGGAGTACTTGCGCCGACTCTGATCATGTCTTAGCACATTGTCATTTTTCCATGAACTTTACCGGAAGTCGCACCAAGAGTCTCACCTGATTGACAACGAAGAAATTGCCTCAGCCCTCGATCAGGCAAACCCATCAAGATGTACTGTGTACCGAACTTTCGTGCATTTGTCCTAATGCACTGAGCTTCGGTGGAATAGGATCACGGCCACCATACACGACGCAGGCGCATCTGCTTGTGGCACTAATGATCGTCACCGCATTAGTCATTGGATATGCGAGAGGTCTGTGGACCTGTTGGAATACAGAAAAAAGCCTCCCTGCTAGTTCTTAATACAATGTGAGCAGACAGACTATTAGGCGCGAACTAAAGCCTGACAGGGAAGTCTGGTGGACCAGTTGGGCTCAAGAAATGAAGGCGGGAGCAGTAGGGAACTATCGCAAGCTCTTCCAGCTGACCCGCACCACTGGTTACAGGAAACCAGGCGTCAGTGAGACAAGCAGAGACAGCGCGAGTGCACTGATTCACAATATGGAGCGCCATAGGGCTAGTTGGGTGGAGCACTTTCGAGAGCAGTTTAGTTGTCCCCGTGCTTCCGGATCGTTTCCTACTCAGATGATGCAGGATGAGCCATGGACGATCAGTTTAGAGGCTCCATCGGAGGCTGAGTTCCGAAACGTGATCATAGCCCTCAATCTGTTTCGTGCTGTTTGGCCCGGATTCCCTTTCACCTGCACCATTTAAGGATGGTGGTGAGGTCCACTGCAAAGCACTGACCTTCCTGTTCGAACATGTATGGAAGGAGACCATCCCGGCTAACTGGAGTGAGTCGATTATAGTGGCAAGATACAAGTATGGCAGTCGCACCGAGTATGCCAACCCCAGCGGTATTAGCCTAATGCTAGTTGTGACGAAAGTACTGACCACAAGTATCGTTCTTCGACTCCCTGCGGAACGGGAATCCCGGATTATATAAGAGCAGGCAGGCTTCCGCCAGGACATGGCTGTTTAGACCACATATTCACCCTGTGGCAGGTGCTAGAGCAGCGCCACGCATACCGTAGACCGACAGTGACTGTGTTACGTGACTACAAGAGTGCGTTCGACACTTTCGATCAGTGCATTCTGTTCGAGTTACTTGACAAAACTTGTTTTCAAGAAATATGTGAACATTTCCCGTGCTTTACACTCGTACATCACAAGCCGCGTTAGGGTCTACGGTGACTTGTCAGATGTCTTTCTGACAACAAGTGGCGTTCGTCAGGATTGTCCAATTTCCCCATTCTTATTCAATTTCGTCGTGGACTCCATCATGGAGTGTTCTCTTGCTGAGCCTCATGATGCAGGCGTTGAGGTGCTGCCTGGTGAAAGGATAGTTGGTCTTGATTATGCGGACGACATCGCCTTGCTGTCTAACGATGAGGCGGCGTAATCAACCTTGAATAACCTGTCTAGAGTTGGTCCATTATTTGGTATGCGCATCGCACCTGGAAGGTGCAGTGCTGCTGCAGGACCAGCAGTTGCTTGATGCACCTTGACCCTTGATGGTAAGGAACCCGAGGTAGTTAATCAACTTACTTACATTGGTAGCTGTATCAGCAACCATGGGCGCATAGCAACGGAAGCCAGTTCAGGCATCGTAAAAGCCAAAACTGCCTTTTTGAATCTGCGAGATCTTCGGCAACAGAAAGGGTTTTCCCTCATTCTACTAGGCCGTGTTTACAAGATCACAGTGAATGCCGTCCTGCTCTATGGAAGCGAGACTTGACCCCTTCGGTCTGAAGATCTGAGCATCAAAGCCTGCAGAGCATTTCTGGTCTCGGGTGGCACCAACGTGTCCGCAACGATGATGTGCGTAAGCGAGTGCTAAGCAGTGATACCCAGGCTAGTTCCTTAGAACAACAGGTAGCACTGCATAAGTTGCGATGGCTTGAACACGTACTACCATGCCTGGTCACTGCTTACCGAGGACGGTCTTGCTTCGTTTGCCAGAGAAAGTTTGGTGCCAGGCCCGAGTTGGGCGAAAATTAACTTAGCAGCGGGAAATGAAGTCACCGACAACTGAACTTGGTTCCGTCGGTTTCTATCGCGTTCCAGGTTTGATTCCACGTGACTCGCTTTGTGCTTGGTAAGTGACATTACAGGACATGACTCGCAGTCGACACCAGGGGCACATCTGCTGTCGTCTCTTATTCGGATCGCTTGTTAAACGCGTGTTTGTTGCTGAGTTATCTTCGGGGTACTGGCTGATTATGACGCGGGGCAGTGAAAGTCGTAAGGAAGCTGTCTCGCCGATACCACCTTATCTTTGCACAATGGCGTTGTTTGTGACAGAATGTTGTTAACAAGGTGTAGGCGGCTTGATGTTGAATGTTAGTTTAAGGCATTGAGGTTTTATCGTAAGTCTGCTTTCCCCCTTATTATTCTTCGTTCCGTAGGTCGTTATGGTTGTATGACAGCGACGCATAAGTTGAAATGACTGATGCATGCTGTCGATGATGCACGTCAATACCCACGGTGTCTGGCGCGCGTGCGAGTGCAGTCTGTGGACCTATTTGTGTTATAGTTGCGAGTGTTGAACGCCGCCAGGAAAACGGTACTGTGTAGCCTTATAAGGAGCTGTTGGCGATTATTGTCCAGGGGGTGATACGGGAACATAGTTGTACATGGTGTGACTCTAATGACATTGTGGTTTATGTCAATTAAACTGGGAATTACAGGAGGAAGGCTAGTAATGGGAGGGGGAGCAATAGAAACGGCTGGAAATGTAGGAAGGGATGCGCCAGCAGTAGCATGATTTCGCTTATGCGCCCTGCTGTATGCAGCAGATAATGCGCCCCTTTATAATCTGCGATATGGCCGACACAGGACGTGGCTGAATTTTGAAGAAATTGTCATGGTTGTACGTGGGCTGAGATACTGTCAGCGTGCCCAGACCTAGACAGTAAGACGATTAGGGACCTCAACCAAAGCCTTTGACTCAAGACTGTCCACAAGGTAGCAGAAAAGTGGCAATGACTTAGTTTTACAAGGATGGACGACATCCGCTTTCCAACTCCCAACCTGGAGGACAAGGAGACTGAATTTATCTGAACTTTAACCATTGATCAACGTGGTAGTAGCTCCCAAGCGGCCCGGGACACCACCCAGTATAGCTCAATGCGTCGACGAGGTACGCAAACCGTCGCAAAACGTTGTGGTCTAGCCTCGTTGCGACGGATTGGTCAGTGTGTGATGCGGTCTTAGTTTTGCGCGCATTTATATTGCATAGTTTTTCGTCAACCGGTTCAACGACCCGCTGAAGAAGGAACACACATGGGTAATCCCATCGTGTCGGTTTCACCTGAACTTGTGGTCACGACTTGAAGCTTTTTAAACCTAGGAGGCTCCATATTCACTCTACTATCGCCCTATACACCCCGGTGATAAACAACCGGGAGTCATCCCGAGAACTTTGTCAATGCTCAATCTGAGGAAAGTTTCCAGTGGTTGTTGGACTCCCATATGAGTAAGTCACCTGATCGCAATATTCTGCTGCGATATCTTCAGCCCCCTAGGATTGCTGTAGGTAAAGACATATGTACTCCTTTTCTGAACTAGAGACGATATGGCTGACATGGGACCTCTCTCTGCCTTCTACAACTCACAAATGAACTCAAAGGGTATCAGAACATGTCTTGACGTTGGTCGGATCAGTTCCGGCTGTAGGAAACTGGTAGTGAAATAACAGAGGAAAAAGTCAAGAATTGGGACTTACATCTTGCGTTTCGGTGTGACAACCGAGACGTCCAAGTCGTCAGAAGAACTCCGCTTATTAGACATTGGAAGACCACTAACGGCTAGATTGTGTTGTTGTAATGTGTAATATGGTGTCCGGTTGAGGATTTTGAGGGCTTCCGTGTCCAATGCGTACGAAGGTCGTAATAGACCTAGGGAGCTGCAACAAAAGACAAATATTTCATAGGTAGCTGGATGAGAAAAAATGAAAGGCATCAGCAGTACGCAGTACAGACGCTTCGTCGCAGCGCAACCACCACCGGTCGCACGTGGGCTAGCGATACTGCGAGGGTCGCCCTGCCCCTAATCAGCCACGAACCCGCGTCACAAAATTAGGAGACAAGCTTGTTACCACTAGGATACGGGTCGGCTGGATGCGCATATCACAACCACCTAGTAAGTTCAAATTCAGGTGACAGGAACAATAGGAGAACCCCATGGATGTTCCATTACGGAGGCGTCGTTGAGCCGGGTTGGATTTCGGGCGAATGGACTTGTCTTCTGAGAGTGTACAATCGGCATGAGCGTCAAACCGCGAGCAACCAATCAATGCTCACGTGTCATGCACCGGTAGTCCCCACGGTGTATGTCACGTGAAATCGAAGTAAAAATACAGAAAGGAAAACAAAACTGAAAAACATACAGCGGAAAATAAACACCGGAAATCAAGACAAGAAAACAGAGATGGGAAATCGTAATTCAGGCAAAGATGTGTAGGGGAAGAGTTGTAGCTGCAACATGTGTGATTTCGAAATTGCTTGACGGCTGCATCTTACCTTCTGAATGAAAGGAGACAATTGTGTATCCGACTTTTAAGAGCGGTGACAGTAACCTGCTTGAAAACTACCGGCCTGTCAGTCTGACAAGCGTAGTAGTCAAGTTGTTTGAAAAGCTGATAAGGCATTCGGTTGCAGATGTTGTCGCTGCACTATAGGCGTCTTCGAGGCGACCTGATCCTTACGTACCGTATATTGGCGGGCAAGATCGGGCCTGATCTAACTGGATGCCATCTCTTTGTGGTCACCCTCTGAAGCTGCATAAGCCCCGATCCGGTCGCGTTAGAGCTGATTTTTGTTTGTCACTCAGGGTCGTTGACTCATGGAGCGCATTACCCAAAGAAGTCATATTAGAACCAACGGTGAAGTTTGAACATCGACTCGACACCCTTGAGTCACAGTTTCAGATCTTTCCGTTTGGTTCTTAACCTCCAGTTTTATGTCCTTAACTTCTTACTCCTTATTAGCATTATTGCCTAACCTACACATCCACTCTGGTACTACAATTATAAGTATTGTTTTTGCTGATTCTCTTCTAGTGACTGGTACAGCGGGGACTGCTAGTGCATGCCGCATGGGTATTGATTGGCTGAGCGTGACGTGAGTGCGTTTTGATTTGGCTCGCCTCGGTTTCAAATCGATAGCGCGAACTCTACGACGCATTAAAGAATGAACATCCATGGGAATTTCCTACCGTTACTGTTCAAATTGAACTTGAAGTTCAGAACCACTTGAACAAATTTAACCTTCTAAGTATTGCGCAACATGGATTCCGCAAGGGATCTTCGTGTCAGATTAATCTACTTATAGCTCGTGAAAGCTAGGCCGAAGCGGTAGACTGGCTATGCGGTAGACGTGATAGTAGTGGACTTTTCAAAAGCTTTTGATGCCGTTCCTCACAGACTCTCACTAAAGTTGAAATCTTACGGGATATCTTGCAGCGCCCTAAAATGGGTGTCTGCTTTCCTGGATGGGATGGAACAGTGTGCACGCGTGGGGCGTAGCTTTTCGCTTAGGCAAGTTGTACTTGGTGACGTTCCGCAGATGAGGGTATTTGGGACATAGTTGTTCGCGAGCTAGAAGTGTTGTCGTTGATGTTTGCTGACGACCGTAAGCTCTGGAATACCGCGGGTATCCCAGGAGTCCTGAGGCAATTCAGCGTGTTTTGGATAGGCTCTGAGAATGGTCTACCATATGGTTGATGCTTATAAATCGGGTCAAGTGCTCTGTTCTCCGAATTGCAGCTGCTAGCCCTCTCATTTAATATGTTGTCGGTGGTGGTGAAATGCTATTTGTTACTCAGCAGGTTGATTTTGGTGTCGTGCACTTAGAAACTCTTCATTCTGGCGACAATTGGAAGGTTGCTTGTCGGGGATTTCGTATGATGTGTCATATCTGTCGCTCGTTCGGAGCCCCAATGGCCAATATGCTTGTGAAGCTATTCTCGGCATTCTTCCAACCCCACCTGGAATATTGTATCAAGGCTTGTCCACTATGTCTTAACCGAGACAAAGTCGACTTGGAGAGGGTGTTACGAATGGACACTCGGTTAGTGCAGGGTCTACGGGGACAGACGTATCCTGAACGCTTGCTCAGTTTGGGGATGTACTCAACGCACTACCGAAGGGTAAGAGGGTACCTGATTCTCACATATCGTATTTTGATGAGTAAGATCGGCTCGAATTTGTTTGGGCTATTTAGCTCCGCTACGTTACCTAATCTCCGCGGTCACCCACTGAAACTGCATAAACCACGGTCTGATAGGATTAGAACGGAAACTCGTCTGTCGCGCCTAATTATAGAGCGCTGGAATTCGCTTCCAAATCATGTGGTTAGCTAACCTACGGTTACGGGTTTTGTGCGTCAGCTCGATGCTCTTGGATGGCAACACCAAACCTCTTTTTTCCTGACTTTCCTTCAGTTCCTTTTTTAACGATCAAATATCTTAGCATCCTAGTTCTTTAGCCCGTCATCATCATCCTTATGCACGTCAGCTAGAGGTGCAAAAAAATACAACAGCTGCATGCCAGCTGAGCCACCAGCAACGGATGGGCCTCGTTCCGGAAAGCTATAAGACGGCTACTAGGTAATAAGAAAAATTATTATGTAAAATTATATTACGCTACGGAATGAGATCGTGGTTGGAGAGGGAGGCTAAAAGGGATGAAGTGGGACAAAGAAACTCACAGCAGCAACGCCAATGAGGTCGGCTCCTAGCCATGTCAGCAAGTGTATCTAGGCAAACGTGTTCATCGTCCTTTGGACCTCAACCAGGAAGCCGTGAAGTTCCAGCCGAGGCGGGCTCCGAAGTAAGGGCCTTCATTACTCTCGACCAAGTTAGCGCTTGGCCAACACTCTTCCTCTTCCAACCCCTCCCTGGCGAGCAGACAACGCACGTCGCGGGAGTCTGCATGCGCAACACGTGGCCGAGCCATCGGGGCCTGGTGCATGAAATGACGGTGCTGAGCGGTTTAATTCCTTTTCCTGTGCCATAAACAAGGTGTCTAACACGTTCGTTGCTCACGCGGTGTTCCTACCAGATGTGAGCCAAACTGCGAAGACACCGATGGCCGAACGTAACTAGCCTCTTTATGGCTGCTGATCTAAGGGGACCGTACAGTAAGGGCGAACGTACCGCTGCATTGTACACTCTACCCTTCAGGGCAAGAGTGATGCCGCGCCGCCGCCATAGGTGGCGAAGGTTAGCAAAAGCACTTCGAACTTTTGCTATACGGTTCGTGATTTCGTCTTCGATCCCACGGGCGCTGATGCAACTTCAGGTAGTTGAATTTATGAACGAATTCTGGCTGGTCCGCAACAAAGGTCAACGCAGGAGGCGATCCCTACCAATCTTGGAGGAAAGCTTTGCACTTTGATGGTTCAAAACGAAACCCGAAGCGGCTGACAGCCAGCGCTAATCTGTTCAGTGCAGCTTGGCACGTCTAGGAGCTGTCACAGATGAGGGCAATGTCGTCTGCATACTTCAAGTCAAGAAGTCGTTCTTCTGGGAGTAGCTCCACACCTAAGTCATGTCCTGTAAATGCAATCTCCACGACTTCGTCAATAGCGAATTTGAAGATGATAGGTGACAACGGGCATCCTTGTCTCACATCGTTGGAGATATTGAAAGACAGCGACGGCTTGCCCGTGCTACTCGCGTATTATGCTGAGATAATATTTATATATTTCTCTGGCACACCTTTCCTGAGTAGACGGTCCCAAAAAGCACATTGATCAACTGAATCGAAGGCACCTTTGATACCGAGGAACACGACTACGGCGGCCCCCAATATGTGTGACGGTGCTCCAACAACTGAAGCAAAGTGAAGATGTGATCGATGTAGCCACGATCCCGACGAAACCCGGCTTGCTCTTCAAGAACCTGGCTTTCACAAGTGTCAGTAGTCTGTGAAGGATTATAGAAGCAAGTAATTTGGAGGCGATGGGGATCAGACTGATTCCTCTATGGTTGCCGCATTCTGTGCGCGAGCCTCATTTGAAGATGGGAACAATAACGGAGCGGCTCCAGTCGGTAGGGACAGTTTCCTGCTCCCACAGTTGCACTAGTAATTCGTGTAGATCATCAAAAAGAGCAGGCCCCCCGAATTTGAAGAGCGCTGGATGAAGATCATCTGATCCTGCGGCTTTGTACAACTTCAACAGTCCGATCTCCCGTTTGACTTATGAGCGAGGGCGGGTCCAAAAGGACAGCCCACGGAGCAGAGCGATCACTGGCCGGTGAGGAATCGAGTAATTCCGGCTGATTAGCCCACTCTTTCGCTTCTTGATTTCTGACCTTACTGTTCTCTCTTACTTCACGTAACCGGCTCCGGCAGGGACTGCTAGGGCAGGACACATGGGCAATAATTGGTTGGACAGGATGTGATGTGGTCTTTGTTTTAGGTCCATTAGTGTAACATGTAGGACTGGTAAATACTAGTCCGGGACGGTGCGCGAATCGAGCGGATATCAGAGGGTAATGGAAGCCGGACACAGGTGAGATATACTCGATGGGTTACAAAAACGTGAACGGATGAAGCGAGACAGGAGCAAACGTTACCAGCACAACTTACAGAGCAGGCAAATGGCAAGCCGGATGCAAGGAAGACTAAAACAAGAAAGAATAAGGTACAACTGGTCAGCAATGAAATTGTACATAAGATAGTAGTTATCTTTTTGGGCACTAAAGAGCCCCCACCCTAGGAGACTGAACATGGGAAGTCTCCGATGTCGAAAATGATGGATGAATCGAGAATCGTAAGACAAAATCGTGCCGAGTAAGAATGACTGAGTGTTCGTTTAAAATGGGGTTCGCCCGAAGTCGGAGCCCGCTGTGTCGTTTGTTATTAATTATTTATTGATTGCAGGGTAGGGTGCATTTCGGCGAGT